AATTTAAATGTTTCAGGTTGTCTACATACTCCAGGGCTAGAATTTTGCATTTTTGTCCACCAGCAAACTTTATGTGAGTGACTTAAATAAATTTACAAGGTTTGAATTTTGACTCCCATTGTACAAAAACCATGCACTATTGTTAATGACATACAGTGTGAGTCAAAATATTACAAAGTTTTATGATGTGGTACATTTAAGCCACTATGGTACATTTAAGCAGAATTTGTTTAGGGAATCCTCTAAAACCCTGTACCTTCATAGTTCTTTCATTGTTTAAAATTTTGTTAATTAATAGATACTCAATAAAGAAGAAAGTTTTTATTATCCCCCGCCGATGGAATCGGGAGGGGGATATAGTTTTGGCATTGTCCGTCCGTCGGAATTTCGTTTCCGGAGTAGTTCTCTGCAACTACTGGCTGGAATTCAACGAAACTTTATGGGAATCATCAATATCAAGAGGAGATGCGCATCTGACCGTCCGTCCGCCCGAATTTCGTTTCCGGAGTAGTTCTCTGCAACTACTGGCTTGAATTCAACGAAACTTTATGGGAATCATCAATATCAAGAGGAGATGCGCATATCGTAGGCTTGTTCCGGTCAGACACTTTAACTCAGAGTTATGGCCCTTGATTAGTTATGCAGTATGCATATGGAGTAAAAATCGTTTCCGCGCTACTTCTCTGCAACTACTAGCTGGAATTCAACGAAACTTTATGGGAACCTTCAATACCAAGAGGAGATGCGCATGTCGTCGGCTTGTTTGGGTCAGACACTTTAACTCAGAGTTATGGCCCTTGATTAGTTATGCAATATGCATATGGAGTAAAAATCATTTCCGGAGTAGTTCTCTGCAACTACTGGCTGGAATTCAACAAAACTTTATGGGAATCATCAATATCAAGAGGAGATGCGCATATCGTCGGCTTGTTCTGGTCAGACCCTTTTACTCAGAGTTATGGCCCTTGATTAGTTATGTAGTATGCATATAGAGTAAAAATCGTTTCCGCACTACTTCTCTGCAACTACTGGCTGGAATTCAACAAAACTTTATGGGAACCTTCAATACCAAGAGGAGATGCACTTATCATCGGCTTGTTCCAGTCAGACACTTTAACTCAGAGTTATGGCCCTTGATTAGTTATGCAGTATCCATATAGAAAAATATTTGTTTCCTCGCTACTTCTCTGCTACCACCGGCTGGAATTCAATGAAACTTTATGGGATACTAAGAGGAGATGTGCATATAGTCGCCTTGTTCCAGTCAGATACTTATAACTCAGATTTATGGCCCTTGATTAGTTATGTAGTATGCATACATCTCATTAGCATTTCCAGATTTTACTATTTAACACAAAGTTATGGCTCTGTTATTTCCCTGAATATTTATCAAGTTCAAAGAATATTACTGTTTATGCCATGATTAATATATAAATAAAGCCTTATGTCTTCAGTTGTTGTGTTAATGATAACCAGTACTCGGCGGGGGATATAAATTCAACGAATTTGCTTGTATCTCTATAGTCCTTGAAAAAAAGTGGTTTAAGATATGAAAAACATGAAAGTTTTTGTCAAAGAATTAAACTTTTTGTCAAAGATGAATTCTTTATGTAAAGATCATGTTATGTCTAAAATGTTAACCGATAGCCAGCTATTTTATATTCTGAAATTATATAACATTATTGCCTTTGATCGTCATTGCTAGCTAGAATATCAAAAAGATACATCAATCAAAAATGCCAGCAGAGTTGCAAAATCTATGTCAGCGCTTGTAAGAAGTGTGCTGTGTTCACCTGGTCTGTGAATGGTGCCAGTGTATCTGAGAGATTGTGATTTTTTCATGTTTCAAGTGTTATAGCAGACCTAGGCAGCTGTCAGACTCTTAGAGAGAACACCATCTGGAGCCTCTTCAGATCCTTGTAACTAATCATTGATTTATTGTATGATATAGTCCACATTCTCTGTTTTTACTTTCTACCTTAGGTTCTTATTTTCTCTAACAGTATTTTTAATATAGGTATTTTTTTACAGGAACTGAAATCTGCAAAATTCATAAATGATATTAAAGGGTTTAGTTCTCTAGGTCAGAGTGGATAAATATATGCTGACTTTGGGTTGATACTTTTATCATTAATGCTGTATATTTGAGTCACATTGCATTCTTTCAAGTATCTTGCTAGGTTATACCAGGCTATGTATTCATGTAAGATGCAATGTTCCTGAAATCCCTTTAAATTACAATGGCATGGGCAAATTTCAACAAAGGGCAAGTCCATTATACTGACTTTAGATAGATTAAGGTTTAACACTGCTGCTTTATTGACTATCCTAAAATGTTTTTGTCTCTTGTATTCACTGGTATGCACTGACATCTAGCAGAAAGACCATGTTAGCTACATAGTTATTGCTATGTCCTTTTTAATGTACAAAAATGTGTATAGTTATCTCCCCCTACTAATGGAATCTGAATAAGCTCCTTTTGTTGAACAAAAACTGACCTGTTTTAGATTCATAGAAAGTGATATCAGTGATTAAAATTTTGAAAATTGAAAAAAATTTCTCAGCACTTTGAATTTTTGGACACTGTAAGGACTTTAACAATCAGTAGCCTTTGTCAAATTGCAATAACGGAAAATTAAGAGAAATTTTAGTCTTAAGTTTTTTTAATAAATAAGTAGCATTATAATCTGTTAAAGAATAAATTATCTTTTGTTTAGATTCTGCTGAAATTGTATTGAGTATTTTTTATATAATTATATATCTATAGGATACTTTAAAATTTAATTTAACTGAACTAAAATAATTTGTAGTAAGTATTTCAAGACAAGTGAGACATTTATATTTGTTGATAGAAAAGAAATGATATAATAAGACACATCATTCCTTTACTGAGGGTAACTTTGTCGATTACAGCTTATTAATAGTAAATGGTTTTTTTTGGAATATGCAAAAATTTCAGACCTGGTTTTCTAATGTTTTTGGGGATTTCTTTTTAGCTCGACTATTCGATAAGAATAAGTAGAGCTATTGCAGTCACCCGGGCGTCGGCGTCGGCGTAACCACTTATGTTAAAGTTTTTGTAATAGTTCAAATATTTTCAAAGTCCATTGACATATGGCTTTGAAACTTTGCACACTTGTTCACCATCATGACCCCAACCTGTAGACAGGAGGAGGTAACTCTATCAAGCATTTTGACAGAATTATGCCCCTTTTTCGACTTAGAATTTACGTTAAAGTTTTTGTAATAGTTCAAATATTTTCAAAGTCCATTGACATATGGCTTTGAAACTTTGCACACTTGTTCACCATCATGACCCCAACCTGTAGACAGGAGGAGGTAACTCTATCAAGCATTTTGACAGAATTATGCCCCTTTTTCGACTTAGAATTTACGTTAAAGTTTTTGTAATAGTTCAAATATTTTCAAAGTCCATTGACATATGGCTTTGAAACTTTGGACACTTGTTCACCATCATGACCCCAACCTGTAGACAGGAGGAGGTAACTCTATCAAGCATTTTGACAGAATTATGCCCCTTTTTCGACTTAGAATTTACGTTAAAGTTTTTGTAATAGTTCAAATATTTTCAAAGTCCATAGACATATGGCTTTGAAACTTTGCACACTTGTTCAACATCATGACCCCAACCTGTAGACAGCAGGAGGTAACTCTATTAAGCATTTTGACAGAATTATGCCCCTTTTTCGACTTAGAATTTACGTTAAAGTTTTTGTACTAGTTCAAATATTTTCAAAGTCCATTGACATATGGCTTTGAAACTTTGCACACTTGTTCAACATCATGACCCCAACCTGTAAACAGGAGGAGGTAACTCTATCAAGCATTTTGACAGAATTATGCCCCTTTTTCGACTTAGAATTTACGTTAAAGTTTTTGTAATAGTTCAAATATTTTCAAAGTCCATTGACATATGGCTTTGAAACTTTGCACACTTGTTCACCATCATGACCCCAACCTGTAAACAGGAGGAGGTAACTGTATCAGGCATTTTTTTTACTATCAAGCACTAAGAATAGTCGAGCATGCTGTCCTACCGACAGCTCTTGTTTGTTTTATTGTATTTAGTGATGTGAAGGAGTTATTGTTTTAAGTGTTTGTAGATTTGAATGTTTACTTTTTTCTGATTTATTTGTATATGTCATAAACTGTTATCTTCATGACCATCTAAATCACCACTTGACTCTATCATAATTGATAAATTGACCTTTTCACTCCAATGCTCAAATTATTTGATAAAAAGCCTTGATTTGCCAAGTTAAGCTTTTAACTATAAAACATAATAAAATTCATAAAGAATTAAGAATGGAGAAAATATAGAAAATGACAAAGGGTTAAAACTAAAAGTACAAGTAGCACAGTTTCAAAGTTCCTTAAAAAGTTTGTTTACTAATTAATATAGATGAGTATTATGGTTGCATGTTCCTCATATTTTGTAAAAAAAAAATTAAAATACAGATTAAAAATTTTCACTGATTTTTTCTGTATATGGTTCAATGTTTGACTTAACAGTTTTCTGAGTTAATCCATTATACCTCAAAGCACATGTTAGTAATTAAATTTGTCTCAGTCTTAGTTAAATTTAGTATGTATGGGTATCATACAATTTAGAAAAGGTGCACTGATTTCAGATTTATGTACATCAATAAAAGTCTTATGATTCCAACATATGATTTGACCTGAAACAGAAAAAAAATCCAGAGCACCCTTATCAAGAGAGTTACCATTATAAATGAACAGGACAGTTTGATTAGCCTAATCACCTGTTTTCTCTCTGAGAGCTTATTACTGGGCTTGTATGAAGCTTGTTTAGAAAGTGGGATGTTTTCTTTCCTGTCAAGTTTATTTCCTTCTCATTGGTTACCCTTACTGATTACATCTGCTCAAATATCTAATACTGTAGTAGTTTGTGTGGCTTTCTTTATTGTTTGTTGATAACTAGTGTTATCTTAAGTTTTCTATTGTAAACTTTTCCCTTTACATGAACTGTGCTGTACTGCATCTGAACCTGGTATTGGTATTTACAGTGTGGATAATAAGTTGTGGTGTGACAAGAGGGATTTTTTTTAAAAGGAAAAATAAAATATGATATTTCAATGAGGAATTGACTCCTAAACTATCTTAGATGAAAGGTATTATATTATTGTTTTAAGATTCCTGTTTATTATAAATTGCATTTTTTATAGATATTTATTTTAGTTTGAGCATTTTCAGTAAAATATTCTTTTTTTGTGTGAAAAAGTATTTTAGCTGTAATATTGTAATTATTAATAGAACAAGTAATTATAATGATTATAAAAATATAATTTTATAATATGCACCTAATATTATTTGATAATTTCAAAATTACTTTCCTTTTTTTGACACAGTGTCATTAATAATGCAAGAAAATATTAATTTACACCCAGTAAAACACCATTAAACTTATGTGGTGAATATTTTGTTGTAAATGGTGAATGACTTGCAATTTCTAAGTATTTCAAACACATTAACAGTATATTAACCATTGATTTTTTTATGTAGTCACAAACTTAAACATGCAATTTCACATTTAATGATGCATGGTATCATTATAATACATTATGCTTGCAATTTGAGCATTTGTATCTTTAGCATGACTTTGTTTATCTGTGGTTGTAAAGTAGGGAGGCTGGACTATGTCATGCACTGCAGATTATTTTTGAACTTTGATGTACTTTACATTGTTTCCACATCTGATTGTTGTAATGGACCTGCTTTGCTTTAAATGTCTGTTCGTTTTTTCAGGGGTGTTCATTTTGAGAAATATGAATACTTGAGTAAATTAATAACATTATTTATGATATTCAAAATATAATTATACATACAAGTTAGGACTCTGACTTAAAAAAAAAAATGATGGTTAAATTGGTTTTTCATAACAAATTAATTGTGTCAATAATACTTTGTTAATTAGTTTTATTTATAATTACCATTTGCTTGTGTTTTTTAAACAATTTATACTCATGATATACAATTACGTTTGACTTAATATTGAAACATTAGTGTCCAATAAGAGTACACTTAATTAACAGCTAAGACATTCTTGTGGCCACATTCCATTCGTTACTAACATAGATAATTCAGTATCAATTAGCCAGGCACGCTTTTTCAAATTGTCACAATTTACTAACATGAAAGAAAAGTCCAATAGCCAAGCATGAATACAAAATCAGCTTAACTTTGTGTATTGCCATAAATAAATAAATAGGGCAATTTGTGGTTGAAAGACTATAGGTTTATTTGTAATCTTTGTGGGAAATAGGCCTTAAAGGCAAGATTTTAGTTTTGTTTTATTTTTGAATACTTTTCTTAATGTAAAATTTACATTTATATTTTTGTATACATGCCTATTACATGCATGTCACATTGTTTAATGTACATGCCTGTTGTACCACCTTTTAGAGTTTTTATCTGGCCATTTAATTTGCTAAGTGATTTCCTTAACATCTGTGAGGATGCTGCTGCTCTTTATTTTGTTGAATAATTAGCATTTTAGCTTTCTCATGCCAGAGAAATTGTTGAGATGTTTCCTTGAGAATTTATTGTTTATTAACATAAGAATTAAGGAGAATTTGTTTATGTAGAAGTGCCAGTGTATAAACATGTTGGGGAAATTCTGAAAATCTTAAATTCTTTGAACAAGGCATATAAAGTTTTGAATGCTTTGATACTGTTTCTGATGGCAGAAAATTGTCAATTTGAAAAAAGGAGTGATAGAAATACGGTCTCCATGGCTGAGTGGTAATGTTTCCTGGCTTTGAATCACCCAGAACCACTATGTATATGTATCCTGCCAGAGATTTTGGATTATTTTGTCAGATGGCTTTAAAGATAAAATGTTATAGTTCTATTAAAATAAGTGTGAAACAATTAATGCATTGATTAATTGGCACTTCAGATGTTTTGCTCCTCAAGTAAATGCTGGAGGAGAAGCCATATAATGACATTTCCAGTGTCAGTGTGGAGAAATGATGTAGAAAATACTTTGTTTAGGAAGCTAAAAAAATAATGTAAGACTTTAATCCTAATAAACAATAATTCCTAATAGGGAATGTCAAAAACCATCATTCTGTAAAGTGATAGCTTGAATATTAGTGCTGTCTGAACCAATTTTATACCGGTGTCTGCAAGTATTTTGATATCAAATTCTCTTAGATTGTTTAAATAAGCCGTTCTAAACACAGATCCATTATAATTGATTCAGCAGGGTGAGAGATTATGGACTGAATCACTATGGTGACTGAATCACTATGACGAGACAGGGACATTATAATTAAACTGTCAAATTGATGTTAAAATGACCACTCAAACCATTTAGTCATTAACATGCTGACTTTCTCATCCCTCTCAACAATTGTTATGAGGCTGTTTAATAAATTATAGATTAACCAAGATAGAAAATGACATATAGATAAGTTGTGGCATAGGGTTTAATCTTTATTCAAGATTGTTTACAACTTCCCATATTGAAGTAATTGCTTAATTTGTTACAGCAGTAATTGGTAAGAAATTGAATTAATTGATGGTATAAACATCAGCCTGAATAGATGACTGAGTTAGTTGTATGTTGTTTGGTGAAATGAAGTCAATAAACAGTCAGCTTGATTACAGTGAAAAGTAATCACATAGAACAGAATAATTAAAGACATGCTCATTACTGTCAAATATTGTAGGGCTTTTAATTACTGATACGTATTATTGATATATTTGGTTATACATTCAGCCAGCTGTTTTAAGGATATAAAATGTTGCTGTTTTATTTATCCAGTTTTGTCTAACTGGTTCTATCCAGTTGCCAATGTACTGGTTCTGAGGAATCATTCAATCTCAATTAAGTGATGGACATTTATGCCATATTGGGTAATAATAGAACCAAATGAATTAGCTGAGTATGATGCTTAGATGTTTTTTATGCTGAAATCACTGTACTGTCTTATTGATTATTGACTGTTGATAAAATATCATTTTATATTGTCAGTATTCAACAATTTAAAGCATTGATAAAATTGAGTTAATTTATCAAGGTATTGCAAACATTGAAACTTTATTAAATGACACTGACAGATTACATGGATTATATATATATTTGAAAATCCAGTATGTGATGTCTTTGGAAAGCAGTATGTTGTGGTAAATAAGGGAGAAAATGCACTATTTTGTTATAACATCATGGATTCGTTACCATGAAATGCTCTTTTTCATATAGTATAAATTGTTTGATCATTATAAATGTTTATATCATTCTACATTGTACTTTCAGGTTCATTATAGAATAACATGTTTAAGAAGAAAAAGAAGCCAGAGATATCTGGCCCAATAAACTTTGAGCATCGTGTTCACACTGGGTTTGACCACCAGCAGCGCCGCTATGTCGGTCTGCCCTCACAATGGCAGGGGATTGTTAGTGCCGAGACATCGGACAGGAGGAGACCTATGATAGATCCCTCAAGTATCACTCCAGTAGAAATACAACCTCTTAAGGTATAGTGTGTGTTTTTTCATAGACTTTATTTCATTGTTGTTAATTTTATGCAGTTATTTTTGTTATACATTTATCAATATTTAAGAAATGCATTTAAGATAAGAAAATTATATTAATAGTGAAAACTTAAAATGAAAATAAGCAGGAATCTAAGGGCATGCTGCTTTAAGTAAGACAAAGTTGTTTATATGTAAATGATGAATTAGTTTTTCATATGTCAGCAGTATTTTATAAACTTTTTTTCTTTGAAATTATGATTTTAATCAGAAATCTATTTTCCAAGTATCAGAATGTGCTAACATAACTACATAACCAATACTCTAGAAATGTTAAGAATGTTCATAATAATTTAAAAAGCAATTAGATTAAAAGTATCTGTCTGAGAATTCTTTATGTGATGACATATTATAAATAAGTTATCTTGATTTCTTAACAGGCCCCATTAATCATGATCTTATTAAGAAATACCTCCTTTATGTTCAGGGGGAATTTTCTTTAAAAAAAAATTGTAACTAAAAGATAACATGCCAGAAATATCACAGACTATGGAATTTAACATTATTTTATTCAATTTAAAATGTTTGGATTTATGATAATGAGTATTTGCTGGATCTGAGTCTGAATTATGTATGATAAATAAAGAGAGAATGGAATTTGAATCTTGTCCAGCATTGGAATAACCTCATCAAAGTGGTTGTCATGACTTGTCCAGACTTGTGTAGGAATAGGATCCAAGTCTGGGAGGCAATCTCTTCTGATAAATTCTTCTAGAGAAATATTTACTCAGATTATGATTTGATTTATTGATCTTTATACTGCCTGCATCTAGATATGTCTTGGGAATTAAATGAAGAGGTTCAATGATACAATTTGGCGAGATGACAGCAACTTTTGTCATTTCAGGTTGACAGATTTTGTTCTTAGGTAATAATGTATTGATTTATTTTGCTATCTTGCATTGTTTCAGACTATTATAAGAGGACATTCCACATTGCAACTTAATGGAGGAAATCCCAACGGCATGTTTGGGGGTATATCGGTGGCTAGATCAAATTCACTAAGAAATACCAGTCCACCGGCCCGCAGGAAATATCAACCAGATCAGAATCATCCGCCAGTACCAGAAGATGGTCAGATGGGGAACCGAGGTCTACCAGGGAACCAACACCCTCAGTACCCAGGACCTCCACCCTATAATAGGGAAAATCGGGATCCTTATCAAGAACATAATAGAAGGGATAATAGGGACCCTAGAAACAATATGTACCCAGAAAAAAATAATCAGCTTAGAGACATGCGGGATAATCATTATCCCAATGACAGATATGATTCTAGAGACGGATATCCTGATGCTAGATTACAGCCTCCAAGGGATGATTACAGAGGTTCGCACCCAAACAGCAGGGATCAGAGTTTCGAGCAAGACCGGCGGTCTGAAGACTCTTTTAGGAGACTTAATGACTCTCATGATAGTAGAGATATGATGATGAGAAGAGATCCACACGAAATGTCACAGCCTCGGCACAATCAAATGCCACCTGGTGGACGAAGTCCGCCTCACCAACAGATGCAAGGCTATCCTGACGAAAGGTTCAATCAGCAATACCCTAATTCTAATGGAACATTACCACGGCAGCCACCACAACATCAAAATATGCAGGGATATAACAGTTTGCCTAAAAATCCACAACATCAGTATGATAGGGTAAGCTTCGCAAATTTTCATTTTATTTATCAATTAAAAAGTGAAAATAGTACAGCACCTTCAACAATCAGTCATATACTTTATTTTATTTATGACAGTTACTATTGGACATCAGTAAATCCAAAGTGAAGTAATAGTTGATCTTTGTTAAATCATCTGAACAAAAAGTGCCAATGAAAAGCTTTTGTTATGGCTAATTGTCTAACATCTGTTGTGTGTAGTGTATGTATTGCCTTAATGGACTTTTACAAAAGTTTTATAAATCATGACATTTGTTCAAAGTTTCTTGAACCTGAAATCTCATTATTTACTTAGACTTATATCAGAAACAGACTTGGAATCTTCTGCTCTGAGACTTTATGCTCAGAGTTTTAGACATTTTGCAAATGACATAACTTTGTGGTTTTCTAGGAAGGTATTTAAATCCTTCCCTAAGGGTCAATATAGGCCCTTTCCATGTGTTCACTTAATGTGACCCAATGAATTGTTTCTGTATGAATAGATCCAAGTTGAGGGATCAGGGTCCATCATGGCCCTCTTGTTCAATAATGGCATCTAACATATTGTTAGATAATGTTACCTGAATTGAGAGTAATTCAATAGCCTTATATTTGTATAGGCTATTATTATCCAAACATGCTATACAATTATTACAGGCCAGTGTTTTTGTTTACAGCTGAATTTTGTAGGTCAGATTAGTACATTTTGCAACATTTGGCATTTTCTGCTGACATTTAATGTTTTCATCAAATTGTTCATTTTAGTAAAACTGTTTACTAAGGAAACTTCATGTGTTACAAAAATGTTTATATAAATCAACAATAAAAAAATGATAATGATAGTTAAAAATGTTAGTGTTAACTTACTGTAACTATTTGTTCTCTGTTTAAATCTGAAAAAAAAATCATAAAATATACCAAGAATCATTTATAAAACTATATTTATAACATGTACTTATTTTTCATGTAAAAAAGAAAGAAAGAAAGATAAAAAAGTAAAACGTTTTATATCATTCCCATGATTATTAATTTCTTTTTTGTTCCAGGGACCGCAGCACAGTCCTGGTGGTAAAATGTCCAATCTGCAGGTACCAGGCAACCAGTATCAGCAGCAGCCCCCACACCCTGGCCCCAGAGGTCAAGGTCCCCAAACCCCACCTAAATCACCCCAGCACAAACCTTCCCCCTCACCTGGACCATTCCCTGAACAACAGCGCCTCTCACATGAACAGGTAAGCTGTTGTATACAGATACAATATATAATATAGATTAATTATCTGAATTAGAATTCTATGCACTCATTATAGGCGCCTGCTTTTGTCTGAAATACTGTCTGGAGCGACATTGATATTTTTTTCCACACCAATAAATCTTGAAAGTGGTTATATGACCCATAATTAGTTTAACTAAGAGTCTAATCTGCATTTTTATATGCTAAACTAAGTGGCCTTTATACCAGGTTTAACAATATTTTTTTTCTCCAGAAATATCCCGTTTTTCCCTGAATAATTTTTTTATTCTTTTCCCATTTATTTGACAATGTTTACATATGTTAAATATATAATATTTCGATATAATCAACATGTGGCATGTTTGTTTTTATGAACAGGGAAGAAAATACAGTAATTGCAAGATATCGTTTTAAGTTAATCTAATTTGATATGTTGAACATCTGCTATTTTACCTAGTATTCTTGATGTAAAAATGTTACATATTTCCTGTAATAGAATTATTTTATGGGCTCAAAAATTAACAAACAAAATAGAATATTGGTTTATAGTCTCAACAAAATTAATGTTCCAGGCTAGAAACACTCTTATTTGATCGACTATAAGTTAAATGCTTAGATAAAAATCCAATTAATGTTTAACATGCAGAAGAAGATAGAAGGCTTATAATTTTTGTCAATATTTCATTTACCAGGAATATTTTGATGATTTTCTTTTACAAAATTACTGTATTTTATCAATATCACGAACCATTATAAGATACTGTATGCCAAGTACTTTTGTCACTCAGTACCAGTGTGAATATAACATTGTGTTGTTTACTACTATGAAATAGCAAGCCTAAGACAGCCTGCTGTAATGTCCTTCTTATAATAGAAGGATTCTGATACTAAATACCTATTCTAGCATGTTTGTCGTGTTGTCCATACAAAAGTTGTCAGTGAATAGTTTCAATGTCAAAGAAGGGCAAATCCTGCATTACACAAAATCAGTTGAGATAGATTTGTCTATGAAATTAACAGTTAACAGTTTCTGTTCGTTACACAAAAACAGTAGGGAGTTAGGATTAAGATAAAGTTTACCAGCATGTTTAAAGATGATGGGATATTACTGTTGTTATACTTTATGTGATAACTTAATTAATAATAAAAGGTGCAGTAACTGTTCAGGTATATTTTGGCATCTAATAAGAACCGAACCTCTTGAAAAAAAATGTAAAAAAAAGTGAAAGATAAAGTGTGCACAACTGTTGCAAATTATTATGAGTGCTTCTTTACTTATGTCAGTATGTGCAGGGGAAAAAACAGCACAAGTTGAGTGCAGACAAAATGTAAGATGATAAATTAGCTATTATCACCAGTGAGAAGATGTATTTTGCAGCATGCATGACTGTCTGTAAAAATGATTTTTATCATTTATCTATATGCAAGATTGAACTGTAATAAGCTTGGTGCATTAGTCATAGAAATTGAATCCATATGCTGCTGGTCCTCATTAAAGTTTCTATGATGTACTAAATGATATTATAAAAGTAAATGGATTCTACAGATTTTAAGAATAAGAAAGGCTGACAAGTTCATAATTTTAGTGAGTTAAAGATCTAATGAACCCTTAACTTGTTGTATTTCATAAAGTGAACATTTCCGCTTCTGTTTTGGAACTGTTCATTGTCATTAGTCAACCAACAGTATAGAGCCTAGTCTGACTGCATAGATGTGCAAACTGGCTTGAAACTACGCTTGTGGCAAATATTAATAGCTTACCGTAAGTCTTCATTAGGGTGAGAGTTAATAACTACATTATAAAAATTGTAGTATGTTTTTATATAAACTTTATTTTTCATAAAAATAGTACAAATGTATTAAATCTTTTATGTTTTACAGTTCAGAGCAGCATTACAGATGGTTGTTAGTCCAGGTGACCCTAGAGATAATTTAGACAATTTCATCAAGATCGGAGAAGGATCTACCGGTATAGTTTGTATAGCCACTGAGAGAAATTCTGGGCAAAATGTAGCTGTGAAGAAAATGGACTTAAGGCGACAACAGAGGAGAGAACTGCTGTTTAATGAGGTATGTACTTCTGTGGAACTTACCATAAAACATTATATATTCACTATTTTAGTAAATATTAGTTACACAGGCTTACAGTCTTAAAGAGTATGTAGTAGCAAGATGTTAAGTGGAAGAAGCATATGAATTCAGGTTGTGAACCCCTTGGTGATGAATTAGAGACTGTGTATGTGTCCCCCATTCATCATTCTATGACTAATTTAAGAGACTTTTTTGGGGAAGTTGACAGTTACAGTTTATTGCTGTCAAATGCAACAAGTAATCTTACAGAATCCAGGATATCAATTGTTAAAAAAATACAGTCCAGTTAATTGGGAAAACATGCTATTATACTAAAATGTATTCTGATTTGAAAATAAAATCTTCTCCCCCCCCCCCCCCCCAAAAAAACCCCAAAAAATTCTCATTTCCATTATTGAAGTGAATTGGTCCATCCACTAACATTGATTTTTATTTTCGAGAAATATTATTTCTAATGATATCTTTATGATACATTTTTATAGTTTTCATCAATATTTGAAATACATGTACTTTCGGAAAATGTAGCTTTTGTAGACCAATGCACTTTAATTTATTAAAAACCTGTAAGTATATAATTTTATTATGCCCCCACTTCGAAGAAGAGGGGGTATATTGCTTTGCACTTGTCGGTCCGTCGGTCTGTCGGTCCGTAGACCAAATGGTTTCCGAGTGATAACTAAAGAACCCTTAGGCCTAGGAACTTTAAACTTGGTATGGTGATTGGTCATGACCAGTAGATGACCTCTATTGATTTTGGGGTCAAGGGGTCAAAGGTCAAGGTCACATTGACCTTGTAGGTAAACACGGTTTCCGATCAATAACTAAAGAACGCTTAGGCCTAGGAACTTCAAACTTGGATTGATGATTGGTCATGACCAGCAGATGACCCTTATTGATTTAGGGGTCAAAGGGTCAAAGGTCAAGGTCACATTGATCTTGTAGGTAAAAACGGTTTCCGATCAATAACTAAAGAACCCTTAGGCCTAGAGACTTCAAACTTGGTAAGATGATTGGTCATGACCAGCAGATGACCCCTATTGATATTGGGGTCAAGGGGGAAGGTCAAGGTCACATTGACCTTGTAGGTAAAAACGGTTTCTGAACGCTTAGGCCTAGGAATTTCAAACTTGGTATGATGATTGGTCATGACCAGCAGATGACCCCTATTGATTTTGGGGTCAAAGGTCAAGGTCACATTGACCTTGTAGGTTAAAACAGTTTCCGATCAATAACTAAAGAACCCTTAGTCCTAGGAACTTCAAACTTGGTATGATGATTGGTCATGACCAGCAGATGACCCCTATTGATTTTGGGGTCAAGGGGTCAATGTCATAGTGATCTTGTACTTAATGACCGTTTCTGACCAATAACTCAAGTTGCCTTGGTTGATATTTTTATGTGCTTTTGGTATACACATTTTAAGGTCTTATGTAATATAACAACTTGGCTGTCATTAATGAGGCCTATGTGACTCATAAAATTTATGTATATATTATTTAGTAAGATTTTTAATAACTTTAATTGCTGCACACAACCTATGGGGTCACAATAATTATTACCTTGTGACTAGTCATGACCAGTAGATACTAGATAACCCTTATTAATTGCTTGTTCACTGGGTCAGAAGTCATGCATAATAACCTGATCACATGACAAATTGGCTGCCGATAGGGGGCATACATGTTTTACAAACATATCTTGTTTTAGGTTGTGATAATGCGTGACTACCATCATCCACATATAGTTGATATGTATGACAGTTTCCTGGTAGGAGATGAACTCTGGGTTGTGATGGAGTTCCTGCAAGGGGGAGCACTCACAGATATTGTCACACATAACAAGTAAGTGTCAACTTAATGATATCTGACAATTATTAAATAACATTATTCTCTAAACTGCAGAGGTGGCAAAATCAATTCTCCTTATTGCCCAAGTCTCATTACTGTGGACAAATGAAAATTTTTCAGAATATACTTTATGTATATTATAATTATGTAAAAGTAAAAAAATGCTACTGATAAAACATATAGTAGCAAGATGCTAGATAGATAAAACAGACAAGTTAGTTAAAATCATATTTTGCACGCCCTGTATGATAATGAAGAAAAAAAGAGCGAAAGAAGATTGTAAGTTAACTGTACATGTACAGAACTAATCATTAAACTGTAACCGCTAGTCAGCTGGTGGCAAATGTTTCTGTTGATGAGACCAGTACAGACTGTGATATAAGTCTCCACATCAATGGTGTCTGATCATGCTTTGCAGTCTGCATGGTTTGATACACAGTCAATACCTATTTTGAACTTATACCTAGATAGTGATAATTTTGTCAATATTTAAAAATGGACAATTCTGTTTTAAGATATTTTCCATGGAAAGGGTTTAATAAGTATGTAAAGTATTTTGTTTATACAGAACTAGAAAGTTTAATAAAATTGTATCATTGTAAAATTCTATTATACTATATAACAATGAAATATTATTGATATATTATAGGATGGATGAGACGCAGATAGCTACAGTATGTAAAGCCTGTCTGAAAGCGCTTGCATTTTTACACTCTAATGGAGTGATTCATCGAGACATCAAGTCAGATTCTATACTGCTGGCACATGATGGAAAAGTAAATAAATATTTTCTTTTGTTTCTGAAGAGATAAAATGAGTTTTATGAAAAGTTTGTGTTCCTAAGGGGTTTGTGTGAAGTTGCTTGAAAGCAATCCTTTAGTTTAGAATAAATTGTCTTTTCATTTTTCATTGATACTTAAAGCTATATCTAATGTTTAAAGTTATATTTAATAAAATATTTAAAGATCCTGTATGTTTTGTGATTGATATTGTTACTGTGTGTATAGCACACTTGCAAAAAATTATATATGTATATAATTATGTAAATAAAACAATTTTCAAACATCGAAGAATATGTAAAATGTGTACTGCAAATATTTGTGCACATTATATTTAATCAATACATTATGTGCATTCATTTCTTATTGGAAAATTTGACTTACAATTTATAGAATATAATTTCTAATTACCTCCCTTTATTTACTTGAAATGTTAAATTGGGTAATAATTTTATAAATAATGCTTATTGGAACTTACAATATTTACAGATCTTAATTTGAGCATCATATTTATGAAATAAAACCATGAAAAAATTGTGTTACAGGATTGTGTTACAAGAAATAAAAAAACAATAAAATAATGTTGTTTCCATTATTTTAAAGTCTATTCTTGAAATATTTGCAACATACAAAATTATAATGTCTCTGCTATTTAACACACAAATATTACAAGTAAACAGAATATAGTGTCCTGGATCAAAAATATAATGCTGCTGTTTTTTGAAGGGTTATCTAGCAATAATTCTGTGCATGGGTCATTCATGCTTTAGGAAAGAAACAATCATATTTCTTTCATACAGGTATTTTGGAATCATTCTTTTTCAAAGTCCGAACAATGATTTTCAGCAGATGTATATATCTTTATACACTTAGTAATATTTAAGATAGATGCATATTTGCATTTAACTGGTAAAAGTTAAACAACGTCTAAATACTTGCACCACACTGCCATGGATATAAATCCTGTTTGGGGTTCTGAAAGAATTCATGTTAGAAAGATATCAAGTTGGTGTTACAAAGGTTGGGGAATTTTCCAAGCTGCTTGAAATGGGGGTATTATAAAGATTGGTTAATTTTCCCTGCTGCTCGAATGGACCTGAAATTATGCAAGGAAGGATATTATGAGTTTTTCTTCAAAGTCACCAAATGACCTGAAAATGTAAAGATGTTACTGATGGTATTATAAAATGACATTGTGTAAAAGATGGAGTTAATTTTTTTTTCAGGTTAAATTGTCAGACTTTGGATTTTGTGCGCAAGTATCACAGGAGCTTCCAAAACGTAAATCACTGGTTGGAACACCATACTGGATGGCTCCAGAGGTCATCTCAAGGTTACCGTATGGACCTGAGGTAAATGCTCTATTGTTTTCATAAGTAAATTGACAAAAGAGAATTGTTAATGATATTAATGAATTGTTATTTTCATAACTTTAACAATTAATTTCCTATTCACTGCCATGTTTGTTTATTCTGAGAAGTTGTCAAAATATGTATCAAATACAAATCGGCTGCTTTTCTTAGATTAAAATGTCAAATTGTGGTCTGGTCTCTGCCTCTAAACTGTGTGAAATATGTGCTAACATTTTATTATGTTTAGAATATCTTTTTCTCTTATACTTTTGTTTGTGTATAGTTTACAGTGCATCGCAATTAATGTGATTGATAATAAGCATAAGTGAGTAAATGAAAAGTTGATCCTGAACTTTGACCTCTAGAATATATTGAAAATAATATAACATTTCTTATAAATACAGTGATTTAATTGGTTGTATTTGTGTGAACAGGTGGACATTTGGTCACTAGGTATCATGGTGATAGAGATGATTGATGGAGAACCTCCATTCTTTAATGAGCCTCCACTTCAAGCCATGAGGAGAATCAGAGATATGCCCCCACCGAAAATTAAAAATGCTCATAAGGTGAGAATTCAATGTGCTTATATATCATATTGATTGTAAAATATGTTCTTTTGTCTTACATCAATCAATCCAAACAATGTCTTAGAAAGTTTCATTTTCTTCGGTTGTTTTAATTCTTTACTTAGGGGCAACAAATTAAAAAATTCAAAAGGAAATCCACCAATATGCTAAGATATGAACAGCAATTTCAGAAGAAAGAAAAAATTAAAATACTTTTTTTAATTTTAAATAGCAAATACATTGCCTTTTAACCTTTTGTGCAGAATAAACACAGATCTATGCATTAAGGCCTGCTGTCTGACTATACATCTTACTGCTCAAATTTTGAATTTGATTGAAATGATTCACCTAATATTGATCACTTCCAAAGTAAAAACTAAGACAAAGACAATAACAAATTCAGCAAAGTATATGATAAAATAGTTTAAAATTTTTTTTTTTTGTAACAAGTGTTAAAAAATTATTTTTGCAGGTATCGCCAAGATTGCAAGGTTTCTTGGAGAGAATGTTGGTGCGTGATGCCTCCCAGAGAGCTACTGCATTTGAACTTTTGCAACACCCTTTCTTGCACAACGCTGATAAACCAGCATGTCTGGTATCGTTAATGAGGAACTTTCGAAATAGCCCTTGCTGATGAAAACTTGTCAAACAGACAAATAACTACAATGTGATGTTATCTGAATATGAAATATATAGGAATATATAAAATAAGCATATGCCTTCCAGAACATACTAATATATCAAAGTGGACGTTATCTGTGCATTGATACAGTTTCAAATTCTAATCAAAATATGGAGAGAATCTGGTGCATTAAGATAAGGAGCTACACCCCAGATATAAGAAATTTTAAATTACAGTGACCATAAAGCTTGGATCATTCATGTTATTCTGAATCAAAAAAGGTGAGGAA